CCTCTGTTTCAAGAATGATGCAATTTTCACTTCCCTTTCTATTGTGGCTTGGTGCCTTCGAAAATAGGCCAAGGTCAATTTTCAGATCCTTCCAGTAAATAATTTACAAAAACAAAAATCAAGCTTGAAACCTGCCACCCTCCAGAAAAGCAGAATGAAAACATCACAGCATATTTTCTTTTAATATATGCCAATCTGCTAATTTATTTGATCCCTTGATGACCTCTGAGCTTGATCTTAAGCACAACGGCTGTGATTTGATACAAATTCACTGAAGATCAATTTGCAATATTTGTAAGAAAAGTATTAATGTCTGATTAATTAACAAAACGTTCAGAACAGGTTCAGATGATTCATGGAAAAGATTTGAATCAAGAGATTTCAGTTGTATGAACCACTATTATGATACATCTGTGGTGCTTTCGGAATCTTTTTTTTTGACCAGTACAATTCTTTTTTTGTTCCACAGAAGACAGAAAGTCAAACAGGTCTGAAACAACACAACACATTTTTGATTTAAAGGAATAGTTCACCCAAAAATTAAAATTTGTTGAAAATGTACTCACCCTCAGGCCATCCATAATATATTCTTCATCAGAATAATAGTCATCCTCTCACACCAAAATCCACCAACAAATTTGTTTAGAGTAGTTTTGTACTGTAAACAGTGCTTGATCTGTGCATATTTCTGGAGAAAGCAATATTATGGATAGAGGACATTTTTGCAGAAGAAACTTTGAAGTTTAAAATGTAAATACAGCCTTTTTTATTATAAACGTAGCTTTTCACTTCACATGGCATTAACTGATGGTTTGGAATCATGTGGGTTACTTGTGGATTATAGTGATATTTTTTTCAGCTGTTTGGATTCTCATTCTGACGGCACCCATTCACTACAGAGGATCAATTTTTTTATGTTTGTATCACTGGTGTTTGGTATGGCAGGCATGATATTTGATATGTATTGCTCATTCCTAGGGCTAGGGATTTCATTTTAACAATCGGCCTGTTTGAGCTACGATTTTGTGCATGCAATGAAGTCAACGGGGTCTTATGCCATTTTGGACCCCCCAATGACTTTCATTGTATGGACAAAAAATGTTGTACATTCTTAAGGATATCTTTTTTTTTTATGTTCCAAAGATGTAAGAACATTTTGGAACAAATTAGGTGTAAGTAAATGATGACAGAATTTCCATTTTTGGGTGAAATTATAGGAGGTCATTTCTTTTGTGCATCGTCTGCCCTTAGGACTCCATAAACTGTGATGTAACAGTATGCCATTCCACATTAAAGGCAAATGTGCATGTGAGATCAACACGGGCTGACATGGTTTAGTCAAACTAATTACATTACATGCCTTTGATGGAATTGTTATCATTCATTTAATCGACAAGAAAAAAACTTTTCACAAGAAACAATGTTGTTGCTGTTGTTGTTGTTCTTCAAATATTTGTGCATGCTGAATGATTTAATGCAGCCTGTGGTTAGTGACTTCTTTACAAGCTGACCATATTAGGAACAAGAACTCAGCTGCAGGTCAACTCTGAAAAGTCATTTTGTTTATAAACATTCTAAATGTGGCTAACAGTTTCATACATCTGCTGCTTTTCTTTTTGGTCCTTGTGATGCTGATATAAGCACTTTGGTTGAATCCATCCAGGTGCATTCAGTTTCTGATCATCATTCCCATGGGAATGGAGCTAGCATACAAACTCAGACGTTATTGCATGACCACTTCTCAAGATGAACTGATAATGTAAAGCAAAAAAAAGCCTTTATGCATTTAACGTGTAATATCTGTGTCTTTTATTGTGAATAACACAATAAATTCCAGCTAATGCTAAACTTCTCGACTGAATTTACATTAAGAATAGAGATAGTGAAAAATAGAGACCCAACCAGTATTTAATGCAGTCTGGGTTTTCTTTTATCTACCATATCAAAGTGCATGATCATGTTAGCATGTGCCTAATTTGGCTATCTTATACCAAGTGAAAGATTAATTTGCATCAAAATACCGCAGACTATGAGTGAATACATAACCTCTGACATCAACAACAAGATACTGTACATGAGAAGTATTTTTTTCCTTATCAGCCTGTTTATTTAGCTACCCTAACCATGCATGATTACATTTCACAAAACTTTTGGATGTTATTTTTAGCATTTAGCTTTGTTTTATCCATAAATCTATCAGAAAAGAATAATTTTAGTCAGTTTAGAACAATTGCTGTTAACCATTACTCATTTTTGGATTACACATTGGATATGTCTCAACTGTTGTACAAAGTTTTGTGACTCTAGGTTTTGCTCATTTATGATGACATGAAATAAAAGAAGGATTTTTGAAAGCTTTGATAGAGTAGAGGACTAATATTTTATGGGGCTTGTGATGCCCTGTCCGTGGGCCAGTTGGTACACTCTAAAAAATGCTGGCTTGTTTCAACCCAACTTTGGGTCAAATATGGACTAACCCAACCGTTGGGTTAAATTTTTACCCCAAAAGTTGGGTTAGTCCATATTTGACCCACAGTTGGGTTGAAACAACCCAGCATTTTTTAGAGTGTAGTGAGTAGTCGTTTTGCAGGATGGGGGTGGAGGACAGTGGCAGGAGGGCTTTCTTTGTGTGAAACAATTTTCCACAGCCCCCATCCCCCTCACTCATAAGAAACACCCCATGAGACAAATATACCATCAATCAATCCCAGGACCATAAGAGCAGGATGTAGTTGGGTCTACTGCCGACAGGAAATGAAGGAGGGCATCTGATTACAGCCTCAATGGGGGCTGTTCATTTTTAGCACCAACATCACATCATGAAGATTACAAAAAGATCACTGTTGGGATTCATCCAGTCATGATGCACTCTTAAATGTTTTTTTTTAAGTTGTCACTGGTGTGGTACCCTTTCAAAAGATACTAATAAGTAGCATTTAGGTACCAATATATACACTTCAGGTGCTAATATGTACCTTTAAGGTACTATTATACTCCCTTTAGGGGTAAATAAGGTACAAAGGTGTACCTTTTGAAAGGATAACGTCCCAGTGACAGCTTTTGTACCTTTTTTATGAGACTGTGTGATATTATGCCATACTAGTGTGTACAATTTACATTGTAGGCTACTTCTTTAAATGTACAGTTTAACAAATGTTAAAAAGTATATTATTTAAATAATGTAAATTATTTTTGAAGTTGTAAATAAAACAGATTATTGGAGTAGCTTTTACAATAAAATAATATTTCATGTTAATACTTCATGTTTGTCACATAAATGTCATGTTTTACTCAATGTGTTCCTTGCTGTTTCCTATTTCAGTGTACAATTTAAAGTAGAAGATGGTGCAAAAGCAGCTAGATCCTGTTTAAAAAAAGGATTTACATGACAAAAAATATTTAGAGATTAAAATATGCTTCTTTAATTAGAAAGGCAAATTTGGAAATATACAAGTTGTGAAACATACTGCAGAAAACCACTAATTGTAGATGTTGAAACTAAATGTGTTGCAACACCCCTGGTCTCCCCTACAAATTTTCATAAGCGCCTTTATCGTGGCAGGATGCCATGTGCTTTCCAGTGTCAGAGCTCAAGCATATCTCTCTCTTCACATCCACCATCACAAAGCCCAGTGACTGTGAATGTTTACTGTTTTCCAGAAGCCTGTTAGCATCCCAGAGCTCTCCATGTAAGGCAGCAAGTGCACCAACAAGTCTTGACCGCATCTTTAAGAATTTAAGATCGGCCCCCTGATCTTGCTGCTCATGGGAACTGGACCCTAAGATTGTGAACTAATTGGATGTAAATTGTTAGCATTTTTGCATATCAGACATGTTTACTTGTCTTGACCATGTTTAGTTTTTCAAGCCTCCCATGAGAACGGGACAAGTAGCCTGATGTAGGCTAACTATGTGTGCTAAATCAGCGGAGTAAAAGTATAAAGACCATTTAGGGATGCAAATCCCATGTCAAAGTGTGAGGTAAAAATCTTCACAACTTACTTTTGTGGTCTTAAATATTTGATAAGAAGAATTACATAGTTACTACCCTTGACATATGACACTACAAGATGCTTATTACAATAAGAGTAAAATAGTGATATTAGTGATATGAAATAGTGATTAAAAAGAGTACAGAGTTTACATCCTGTAGGTTTGTCATAAAGTTGGAATTTTATATAATTTTAGTAAGGAGGAGTTATGGACATGTAAATATAGATAGAGATAGAGATATACAGAGAGAGAGTATAAATACAAAATACTAGCTTGTATAATACACAAACACACACACACACACACACACACACACACGTATATATATATATACACACAAAATGTGCACATTTGTATAGCCTACATAAATACAGAAAAAACATCTGGAAATGCAGTGCTATAAAAAATAAAAAATAAATCAAATAAAAATATACATATAGAAACACGCATATAATAACACAGTAAAAGTTGGCATCAGCTTGTCATTGTTTACACATATATTCATGAAGGACACAAAAGGCTGTGGTTTCGTGGAATGACCCAAGAAAAGGTTCACGCCCTTTATGAATAAACGTGCGGAATAATCACTGATTTGCACATCAAAAGGGACTCAGTCAAGCATTATTTCTAAACTTACTTGTGGAATGAAAAATCCTTTATCGCATTTTTCCATCTTTGCCATCAGACATTTTACATTCCATTCAGGATTCAAATGGTGTGACCCCTGCTTCACAACTGGTTACACGCAGACTTGGTGCACATTTTCACGTGGGTAGTGAGGATTTTATATCAAACTACCAATGATAGAAACTTTCATTATTAAATATTATGGCATCTTACTAATTAATTAATTTCACTGACAGTGTAGACATATAATCAGCAATCAAGAAGAGATTTATCAGCAACGCCTTTGCAAAGTCTTCATACTCAATTTGTATTTCATTTAGCTATTACATTGTAGCCTATTGTACGCGTGTAATATTATTCTTTGTTACAAGAGGACTCACCCTTCCCAAATACAGCTCGTCAAGTCCACAATCTATCCACTTTTCCACATCCAGGCGCCTCTGGAGTTCCTTTCTGTTATATTTTACTGTGACTCGTGCTTGTCTCTTCTGCACACTCAGTCCAGCTTCCCGGCTGGTGCCTCGGTTCGGTGAGTGGATCTTATTGTTATAGCGCCTCCCCATCCGATTCGCAGCCATCTCCAGACTGACCCTCCGGATGGACACTTGCATGCAAATAATTGATCAAGAGTCTGGCGGAGTAGGTGCGCTGCTCCGGCACCAGAGAGCGGCGGGCCGCAGGGTCCTAGAGCTGCGAGATTAGCTACTGTCTTACTTTCGCTCTCATCTCGATGTCTGGCGACCACCAGAGACCCGCAAAGAGGTGTTACAATGTTTGGGGTTTGAGAGAATAGTGTGTTAGTTCGCCCAAAAATGAAAATGTGCTGAAAATGTGTCCAAACAGGTGATAAAAACATCACAATGATCCACAAATTATTAAAATTAAAAAAACTCCAGTCCATCAATTATCGTTTTGTGAAGTGAAAAGCTGTGCGTTTGTATTAGGTCTAAACGAATCCATCAGTAAGCTAAAGTCCAAAATCCATAGTAACGTTTCCATCCCCTGATGTCCTCTCATATCAAAATCCACCAAAATCCAGTTTTCACTTGTAAACGGTGCTTGATCTGTGCACATTTCTCTCCTGATTCAGACAAGAAAACTTTTTCACTTGAGAAAGCAATATTATGGATGGACTTGTTTAAAGTTAAAATGACTTGATGTTTTCGTTTCTTACAAACATGCAGCTTCTCCCTTCACAAGATGTTAATTGATGGACGGATTACTGTTTTATCAGTTGTTTGGATTCTCATTCTGACGGCACCCATTCACTGCAGAGGACCCACTGGTGAGCAAGTGATATAATGCTACATTTCTCCAAATCTGTTCAGATGAAGAAATAAACTCATTTACATCTTGGATGGTCTGAGGATGAGTAAATATATGGCAAATTTTAATCTTTAGGTGAACTATTCCTTTTAAACAAACAAACAATAAAGTTTATGTTTGTGCTATATATTCCCAGATTCACTATTATGTCCATAACGTAGATGTTTTTTTTATAGAAAAATGCAAATGAGATAAATAACTACAGCAGGCTATAAGGTCTGTGTCCACAATGTGACTATGTTGTAACATATATTGTATTGTCTCATTGAATTGTGAGATAAATGACTGAATTTAGAAGAGTGCAATTTTGAGTATGCTGTGGAAAAGTGATGAATGACATGTGACATCATTATATTCTGAGATGTTATCTACTCTTCCTATTGAACAACCTAACATCTGTGACACCATCTATCTATTTATTTCTCACAAACTACTTGACACATCTTAATAATTTTATTAAGGACTATTTATGATAATAATGGATTCAAAATGTTGCTGGAAAATATCTGAATATATTTTTGAAAAGAAAATTGCTATTTATTTTCATTTCTCTTAATTTTGATTTATAGTGATGATATATTTTAAGACTAAATATGATCTAAATATATAGTCTAGTATACTAGTCTGTATACTAAATATGTAGTCAGAAATCAAGATAGCAATTTTTTGTCATGTATTAAATAATAATCAGTCATTTTATTGACTTGGTTTTACTCTTTTTTTTAGAAGCAACTATTTTTTAATTCTAAAATGCATACTTTTAGTAAAATGAAGTAGTCATTTCATCTAACATTATATCTATTATCTGAAAATACCTCAGTTAATTTGTCTTTATCATGTGAAATGACTGTCATTTAGACTTGTCATGTAGATGCTTACCAATTTACCTTGACTTTCAGTACAGACGGTTCCCACACACACACACAAACAGATTGTTGTTCTGTCATGGTGGGAACTTTTTATTATTGACGCCTACTGTTTTTATACTGACCTCATGATATTCTTTATCCCCTGGCTACACCTAAACATAATCCCCCGCAAACCTCTAGTAGCCTATCTTTATAGTTTCATTAAGACAGCACACACACACACACACACACACACACACACACACAAACAAAACTTTCAGTACAGACGGTTCCCACACACACACACAAACAGATTGTTGTTCTGTCATGGTGGGAACTTTTTATTATTGACGCCTACTGTTTTTATACTGACCTCATGATATTCTTTATCCCCTGGCTACACCTAAACATAATCCCCCACAAACCTCTAGTAGCCTATCTTTATAGTTTCGTTAAGACAGCACACACACACACACACACACACACACACACACACACACCCACACACACACACACACACACACACACACACCCACACACACACACACACACACACACACACACAAACAAACAGTGACGTCACGTAAGAGGAAGTTGTTTGTTACACTATTTCCCAGGAGAGGAGACGCACACCTGCTGCGTCCGCACACACCAGCTATAAAAATAAAGCATCTGGTTCGTTTACATAGGTGTGGTCATAGAGTTCGTTTAACTTTATTCGATTCGACCCGTCGTAGGTCATAACCGAAAAGAGCTAGGACAGGTAGACGGGAAGTGAAGAATGGCTCAGGTGTGTTTAACTGCCTCCATCGTCGGTTTTCTCTGTTGTCTGTCGGTTCTAAACGCGTGTAAGTGGGACCTGGACACGGAGCTCGAGCAGGGTCTGGATATCAGCTCGTTTGATAACGGCGCGGCTTACCTGGCTGACCAGCCGGAGATCTCGGACGCAGAGCAGTGTCAGAATGCTTGCTGTGAGAGGGACGACTGCCAGCTCGCTGTGATCGGGACTCCGGCGGACGGCAGGCCAGAATGCCGCTTGGTCAGCTGCATGAAAGACGGCAAAGACGTGTGTGTTTTGACCCAGAGCACACAGTTTAAGGTGTACCGCAAGATCCTGGATAGCGCTGATCAAAAAACTCAAATCGCGGCCGAAGTTCGCTCTGTGAACACCACAGGTAATAAAAATTACCGGAGGAAAAATTGTCAAATATAGTTGGCTATTTTAAACCAAATTAACACCTAAATGTAATTCATACTATACTTATTGCAGTAATTATTAATTAAATCACAATAAATTAATAAAAAATGTATATCATAATAAATGAATATGTGACTAAAATTAGCCTCTTAGGGAAAGTTTATGAAACATTTATGGAATAAAAATTAGTTGGAAAAAAAAAACAGTAATGAATACTCATGAATGTACTAAACTTATTTTCAAAACTTATTTACAAAAGATTGAACTGTACAGTTGGTTTTATAGCTTTCTTCTCGCATTACTATAAATTAGTGTTAGTTGGGTCACACAGACTTTTTATTATTATATTATAATTAGTTCATCGTGTAACTTTTTTGGCCATATGTTACCTTTATGAAAAGTACAATAAAAGGAAGTTCCGCATTTCATGGAATATACATGAAGTTGATGCAGTAAGTAATATTATAATGTTTGTTCATTGAGAAACTGTTAATAATTATCTGTGATCTTAAATAGTTTTAAATAAACCTAAGGCAAAAAGAAGAAGAAAATGCTGTCTAGAAACCCTCCCCTTTTTCCAGGTAGTGGTGCAGCATTGTTGTCCACTGACCTGAGCAACCTGTACTTCAAGTTTTACAGCCCAGTACTGTAAACAAAAGTCTTAAACTGCAGAAGGGAAGGTAAAGTTGCATATTCCCATACCTATGGCAAGCGGTGTCAGGTTGATTTTAGCTTAAAATATTCCCAGTGTTATTCGTCATAATTGCATTTTTACTAATAACAATTAAATTGGAGAGCTTTACAATTAAATAATTACTAGTAACAATGCCAATTACAGAGCTCTCTAATTCAATTCTTACTGTAACAATTATGATTAGAGCGAGAGAGAGCTCTCTAATTCAATGATTACTAGTAAGAATTCTAATTAGAGCTCTCTAATTCAATTCTTACTGTAACAATTATGATTAGAGCGAGAGAGAGCTCTCTAATTCAATGATTACTAGTAAGAATTCTAATTAGAGCTCTCTAATTCAATTCTTACTGTAACAATTATGATTAGAGCGAGAGAGAGCTCTCTAATTCAATTCTTCCTAGTAAGAATTCTAATTAGAGCTCTCTAATTCAATTCTTCCTAGTAACCAATTAGAGAACTCCACAAATGAATTTTTACTAGTCATATGTCTCCATTGATTTCCATTCATTTTTAATTGCAGAGCTCTACAACTGAAATTTCACTCATAAGAATTACAATTAGAGAGCTCTACGATTGAATTCTTACTAGTAACAATTCCAATTAGAGAGCTCTCTAAATAAATTTTTACTAGTAACAATTGCGATTAGAGAGCTCACTAATTTCATTCTTACAAGTAAAAATGCAATTACAGAGCTCTATAATTCAATTTTAACTAGTAAAAAAACACATTAAAGATATGTTTAATTTCAGAGCTTTGTACAATGGAATTAAAGAGCTCTCTGATTCAAATTTTACTAGTAAGAATTACAGTTAGTGAACTCCTTAATGCAATTTGTACTAGTAAAACCTGAATTAGAGAGCTCTCTAATTGAATTGTTACTAGTGCAAATTGCATTAAAGAGCTCTCTAACTGTAATTCTTACTAGTAAAATTTGAATTCGAGAGCTCTCAAATGAATTGTTACTAGTAAGAATGCAATTGCAGAGCTCTCATTCAATTACAGAGCTCTCTAATTGTTATTGTAACTAGTAAAACTTGATTTAGAGAGCTCTATAATTGCATTGTTACTAGTAAAAATGCAGTTACGTCGAGTAACGCTGGGAATATTTTAAGCTAAAACAGCATGCCATACATACCTGAATGACATCATCATTTTGGTAGCACAATGATATGTTACAACGAGACAGCAGAGTTTGATCTGAGGTCTGCAGTAATATCATGACCAACAGCATTGAATCTGAGAAACATATTTCCTACAGTTAGGACAGACATGTACACTATATTAGGACTATTCCTTTTCTTCTGTCTTATCAGATCACTGCCGTCTCCCAAGTGTGGTGGGAAATTGCCGTGCAGCCTTCCCACGATTTTATTATGATGTCATCAGTCAGACATGCAAGCAGTTTGTCTATGGCGGCTGTGGGGGCAACGATAACAACTTTAACTCCCAGGAGGAATGTGAGGCTTCCTGTAGTGGGGTGACAGGTAAATACCAGACAATATTTAGTGTGTTAACATTTCAGTTTTATGCAAACCTTTGTAAAAGGTTCATTGCCTCTAATGCTACTAGATTTATAATCCCAAATGCAATTGTGATGGATATACTTTGAGATATTGACCTTGTGTAACTCTTTCTCTCCTCTGTCATAATCTGCTTTTATAGCTTCACATACACTCATTACCGCGGGAAGTAGGGGTGCTGAGGGTGCTGCAGCCCCCCCTGGAGTGTCACCCACAAAAAATGGGGGTGTTGGGGGTGCGGTGTTAAAAATAAATGAATGAATATGTAATAAAAAATAAATACAATTCATTTTATTAATTTGTATATTCATTCAAATGTATTGAAAAAAAGTAGCCTAAGCCTACAAACAGGGTGCGAACTACGGGGGAGCTAGGGGGAGCTCGGCTCCCCTTAATAAGACATGGGCTCCCCTGAAAATGTGATTTGTGAAATTTTGGGGGGGTCTCAAAAAATATTGACAATGTGTTATTTTGACGTGCAATTTCAGTTTTGTGTAATGTGATCATCGTGGATTATTGTGTGTAAATTTGCAAAAATATCATTCATTCATGCATGACGGCGATTTAAACCCAATTCATTTCAATAAAGATAACTAGACATGCTATTCTTGTCATGAGCATCAAGGTGTGGGGGCGCTGCGGTGCAAATTCCACTCATGTTTAGTACATGTTAACTCAAAGATTCGTAGAAAAAATATAAACATTGGACTCCGTGGTCGATTCTGTGTTAAGTTAAGGCATGTTATTCGCAATTAAGTGTTGTGGCTGGGTTGTTATAGGTCTGAGTGACTCTCGATGTCTTTGGCCTAATTGAACGGAGGAATTATGGTATTCTTCTGTAGCCTGACGACGAGTAACTTTAACCGTTGTTCATGTGAACTCAAGAGCGCAAGTGGGCTCCCCCAAAGTCAACGGTATAGTTCGAACACTGCCTACAATGACAAGAAGCAACGGTTAAACATGAGTCAAGTTGAATCAAATTGACTGTGAAAGCTTCTTATACTTCTTAAACTGACTTTAAAAAAAGCATTTGTTGCCATGGTTTTTTTATTATATTCAGTGGCGTAGCTTCTGGGTATTCAGGTACATATGGGCCCGGACAGATTGGGGCCCGCCGAGCTGAGGGGAACTTTTAATTGAAACGAGGAAATTAATTTCCCTGCAATTTCCCTGAGTTGCCCTTGTCCGACAGCTTATCAGAATTCTCAGCCCAAGTCCGACTGGAGCCTGTGTCTTCTCGCTCTCTCTCTCTGTCTCTCTCTCTTCCCCATTACACAGCTGCTGTTGCAGCCATTAAAATAGTTCAGTTTCGGTTTATGTTTGGAACATTTTATGTTTGTTAAATTCAGGTTTTTATTTTTTAAAGGAACGACCAAGCGGCCTCATTGGCTGCATTTGCAACATGAACCAATCAGCTTGTGCTAAGTAGTTTAACGCTGTGAATATCATCAGTTTGTGTTAAGGACCCATCAACCTGCACCATCTAGAGTTTCATGACAGACCTTGGCATATAATATATCAAATCTTTTTAGTTGAAGTATAAAAACCGTTATATGGTTTTCTGACCTGTGGTGAGTTTGTTGCTCAGACGTGTCATTTACCCTATAGTTTAACTCACAAGCCCGTTCATCCCTGCATCAGTTCCTCCACTGCAGCCTTCTGCACCTCAGAGGCCTGTCACCACGTCTTTAGTGCCTGACAACAGACTACACTGAACACCAGAAGACCATCACAAACCACATCTGACTCAAAACAGAGATAAAGAGAGAATGACATAGGAGAAAGACACTGAGAAGACATGTCACAGATCTGGAAAGACAAGGTTATGATAAATGACATAGAAGAAGAAAGAGTGCAGTGGGGTGAGAGGCAGCGTTGGAGAAAGCCACTGCTGATGATGTCATGGCTTTGGCTCTCTAGAGCGTGGAGAGGGCCGGGCCTGAGCACAGTGCTGGTGGGGGTGGGGGGGCGGACATGGATTGGGTCTTGGCGGAAAGGGGGACTGTAATTTGAGTGACCCCCATCTCAAATTGAAAGCAGTTGTGAATTCTCTTGAGGGTAAAGTTTAGCAATCCAGACTCAGCTCACGGTTCCCACGACACAATTCAACCTCCCTCCTCACTCTGTCCCGATGTCCATTCTTTCTCTCGTTCCTTCTTAATGTCACTAGTCTCTGTGCCTATAAATGGGAAGTCTGGTGGCAGTTTCGAGGAACGGCCTGCACTGAAAAAGGCAGTAAGGAGGACTCACAGCATCCTTGCTTATTAAAAGAAATCTGGAGATTATAAAATGCCTCTGAAATGGAAAATAGTTGAGGCAGATAATTTAAGAGATAGTTGGGTGGCTAGACCGCACCCATTCCATTTTTCTTTCTACTTTCTTTATCATTCTATCGTCGTCTTTATCTTTCTTAGGAATACAAAAGCCTTTTCTATTTCAGCATCTGGGTCAACAATATGGCATTTATTTATTTTTTGTTCAGATGTAATCATTTAATCAAATGTACATTTAAAATGCAATTCCATTTGAATGTGTTTTTGATTTATGAATAAAAATTTGTTGATATATTTCGAGGGAAATAAAGTCAAAAATGTCCAGAAGACATAATGAAGAAAAAAAAGCCTAATTAAGAGAATGAAATAAGTGAAAAGTATATTACAGTTTGGTATGGTAATTTTATTAAATTTTTATTATTATTGAATATAAATATATATAAAATGTATTTTTACTAAACTGTATTTTTACTAAACTGCTTCACTGCTTACATTCGAAAAACTTTTGTATGCCAAGTCAAAGTCAGAAAATATACAGTAAATGATATCAACAATATTAATCAATATCAATGAAATAAGTCTCTTAAAACATCAGATAATTTGACCTTTTATGACAAGGCATTTGTTCATGATGTAAAAAATCAAGCGGTGTGACACCCCAAAAACAATGATATTTACGAATTAATTATTTGTGATATTTGTTTAAAAAAACACACACATTTATTACTTTTGAAAATATATTTTTAAATAGTTTTGAAATGATTTTGTAAACTCACATTCATGGTCTGAGTCAAATATGTATAACCTTTTACATAATGGTTAAACCACATGACATTTTTAGAGTCATTAAAGGGATAGTTTACCCAAAAATGAAAATTACCCCATGATTTACTCACACTTAAGCCATCCTAGGTGTATATGACTTTCTTCTTTCAGATGAATACAATCTGAGTTATATTAAAAAATGTCCTGGCTCTTCGAAGCTTTATAATGGCAGTGAAAGGGACTGAGATTTGATAGTTCAATAGAGGTCCAATAAACTGCGTCCATCCATCATAAAAAAGTGCTCCACATGGTTCCAGGGAGTTAATAAAGGCCTCGTGAAGCAAATTGATGTGTTTTTGTAATAAAAATATCCATATTTAAAACTTTATAAACCATAATCTCTAGCTTCTGCTAACCGGTACGCGCTAAACGTTTCTTGAAAATGGTATAAATGTTCTTCAAAACCATTAGAAATGTGTTTTAATGTGTTTTAATCTACACTAAACTAGATTTTTCTGTAAGGGGTGCAGATGTGGTGGTGTTTTAGTTCTGAGGTTCATAATTAGCAAGGTCTATCTTACACAATTCAAGTCTGATAAGAGAAATAGAGGTCTAAAGTTATTTGAGTTTCTAATCTCTAGCTTCTGCTAACCGGTATGCGCTAAACGTTTCTTGAAAATGGTATAAATGTTCTTCAAAACATTAGAAATGTGTTTTAATGTGTTTTCATCTACACTAAACTAGATTTTTCTGTAAGGGGTGCAGATGTGGTGGTGTTTTAGTTCTGAGGTTCATAATTAGCAAGGTCTATCTTACACAATTCAAGTCTGATAAGAGAAATAGAGGTCTAAAGTTATTTGAGTTTCCCAGTCCTTCCACCCACTTACTATGAATGTTGTTGTTTTAGCAAAGTGCTGGCAAGCCTAAATCATCTACTCAATTGATTATGTTCTTGATTAACTGAGACAGTCTGGGCTAAAGCACACCTGACCCATGCAAGAGAAGAGGATTTATTTGGAAACCACTGGCATATCATCTAATTGATGCCTGATGATGTTGTGGTAGATAAAAATATGGCATTCAACCATAATTTCTATAATCTTTTTGGCAGTGCAACGAATTGGTGAATGTAAGCCTTGCCCAAGTAAACACAACCGCACACAGAACTGATGGGAGCCTCTGCATTGTCTCGGATGACACATTGCCAGCATAAAACTAACTGTTGGCTAAATGCTTCCAGACCGCAGCTGTAATGTTTTCTCTCTGTTGTATCTATTGTTACGATCTCAGTCCAGGATACCAGTTAAGTAAAATGTGTGTGGTATCCTTTATGACAGCCAAGTATGTGTGTGGCAGACTTTATAAGCAATGAATCGTATTTATGGTTCAATAAGAATTACATACTTGTGCCATACAAAAATGAGTGATCTTCTGCAGAAGGGAGAAGCTTTGGTTTGATGTCAGACATGAGGAAAGTTGTTTAAGGTCAACAGAGTTTGAAACCTCACTTTCTCTCTCCTTCCCTCTCTACATAAGCACCATTGTGTTTTTGCATGATAAAATCAGGAGGAAGGAATGTTTGGGGCTGATTAAAAAATGAAAATAGCAGTTTAATTTACAAAGATGCGTTATATGTTAACTTGGGGAAACAGCGGAGACATGCTTTGTGTGTCTAGAACAATGATTTGTTGCATAAGAATATGTTTAAGTCTGATAAGCTGTAAAAACCTCTTTATGTGTGAAATATCTTGACAGCTTCACACGCTCTGAAGGGAGTAAATTAATGCTTTGTTATTTAACGGCACTAATTGCGAGTTGTGGTGCAATTTATTTTCCCGCAATCCTGTGCGTGCTCACCTTTGTGCTGAGTGGGTTATTCTGTTTTATGAGTCAGGCTGTGTCCACAGCTTTTTGGATTCAAGCCCTCGGAGACACCGTCTGGGTCTGTAACATCACAAAAGGAGCATGATGAAGTGTTTTGGTGTGAATCAGTGACACAGAAGGTCAAAGTCTCTTGAATGCATTTATCATCTGAACTTTTTCACTACGCTGTTGAAAAAAAAAATCGTACAGCTGCTGATAGTCTCAACTGGAATGTCTTTGGAGTTAAACCCGATCAGCAATCGTTCCCATGTTTGGTGATTGAGGCTCTCTTGGGAAAGAGGTCATGATTGGTACGACCGGCCCTCAGTCAGTGTTCAGAATAACATATCCATTCATTTTAGGTTAGTGTTCGTGACAGTGTTATGTACTATTTATAGTATTTATTAATATTTTGAATTGCACTGTAAAAAAAGATTTTTTGTAGTTGTAAATAAAACAAAGATTATTGGAGTATGTTAGGCTATGTACATTACAAGAAAATACTATATCAGTCTGTCTTCTTCTTCAAAATTTCATGTTAAATCCAATGCATAACCGACTGTTTCTTTGTAATTATTTGCAAAACTTACTAGTAATTTCTGAATGAAAATTGTTTCTACACCATTTTTTAAAAATATTTTTCAGTTTTTATTTTAATTTGAGTTTGTTTTAGTTTTGTTTTGTAGTTTTTTAAATATTTATTTTAAGCATAAGTACGTTTTTATTTCAGTTTTAGTTTTTTAGTAGTTCAACTGTATTTCAATTAGTTGCCAAGCAACATTTCTAGTTTTTTTTAACCTAATATTTATATTGTTTTTATGCAATATTTAAGTTAATAAAAAACAAGTTTTAGTTTTACTTAACAATAACAACACTGGCTTACTGTTTATTCTAGGCTTATTCTTATTATCTCTGCTATTCTCGTTTGTCTCGTCCCAATTTGTGTACTATCCAGTACTATAGACTATTAGAAATTATAATTAGTGTGTCCCAAACTGAGGTACCCAGATAGATGATCTACTATTTCCGGTAAAAATTGGAAGTGTAGATCCGTGCACACTCTAATGGACACAACCCATTGCCTGGTGCATGCAGATTCGATTAGAACTACAAACACAAATAAAAAGAGTTAAAAAACTACAAACACGATGGATATGACAGACTGATGGTTAAGTAGAAAGTTTAATATTTATATTATTGCACTTAGCAGACGATGCATAAGATAAAGTGGTTTGAGTGATTAATAATCAATATCTAACCTAATTAAAAATATTTATTTAAAGTTATCTGCATTTTATTTCCTCTAAATCTTCTCCATAATGTGTGTGTCTATATATTCTGGTTGACCATTGATTATGCCATATATTTGGAAAAAAATATATGACAGACTAAACAAGACAATTTTTTAATTGTTGGTCTATATTAATTTGCCTAATGTGTCTAACTATTTTTTATAGTACGTGGGAAGCCCAGACTTCAGTTAGAAGCGCCATATGACGTTGTTTCCAAGATGGCAGTGGATAACATGCTCAGCACTGAAACAAACGTTAAAGAAACATAAAACATTTCACTTTCCACTCTGCTCAAATTGTGATGTTGAGTGAGAGAACGTGAGAGTAAATGTGTTATGTTGCATATTTGAAGTGTTTTTGCATTCAAGATCTGGATTCAAAAGATGATGTACTGTGTAAGAAATTCTTTCCGGTAGTATGATTTAAGAAACAAAACTGTTGCCTGCCAAACAATCAAAACATAGTTCTCATACAGCCAGATATTCTCCCACAGAGTCTTCCAGTATCGTTTAATTACTTGTTAGATGATATGACATCATTCACTGAGAATTATTCTCTGAGAATATTTTGGATGTAGAGTCATCTAATTCACAAAGGATCAGGCTTTTAGTGGGCAGCATATCAGACACCAAAAATAGCTACTTGAGTCAAGTCTGGTAAAGAGTGGGCTGTAGAAATGTCTGCTCGTGGATGAACGTCTTGAGGGTGGAGACCTAGATTGAACAGCACAGAAGATAATTGGCACAGGTCTTGGAGAGCTCTGGGTGGCCGCAGACTGTAGACTTCCCCACAGCTGTCCTTACAAAAGAGAGCTTTCAGGATTATGGGTGGACAAATAGGAAATGTAAAACATTAGAGCCCACCAAAGATGCCTGTTGTATCCTTTTGAAAACTGGGCTAGATGTTTTTAAAGCAATATTCCAGGTTCACTACAAATTAACTTCGGTTGACAACATTTGTGGTGTAGTGTAAAATTTATTTCCTCTTGTCCATCCATCCTTTTATTTATTTAGTTATTTTTAAGCAAACATCTGGGTTACAGTGAGGTAAATGGGGCCAAATCTGTAATTGTTAAAATACTTACCTTTTTAATATTATAGCCAAAATATGTAAACAATGTGTGTTAGCATGGTTTTAGTGTGGGGAAAAAAAGTGTACTAACATTTTCTGTGTAAAGTAATAGCCACTTTTATGACTTTGTTGCAATGACAACATAACCTTAAAATGACTGTAAAAATTGTGATTTAACACTTTACAGCTAAAATAATACACAAGTTTTAACAGAATAATTAATGGAAGTGCTTTTTGAAGCTTCATTTGTCTAATGCTTCAAAAATGGCCCCATTCACTTCAATTTAAAGCCCAAAGTATTTTATGAATATGATGTTTACCATTGTATAGTGTTAATTTAACCCAGAATATTCCTCTACACAAACTGTTTTAATAATGTTAAGGCATGCTGGTTAGTTGGTAAGAATGTACTTTGCCCTTAAATGGTTAAACATTTCAGGCATCTATTTACAAGGAAGGAAAATAAAGGAACTCAAACAATGTTACTGCCACCAGCTGCGGGAACAGATCGCTAGCCACGCAGCACCTCCCTGTTCCCCTTTTCCTCAGCAACAGGTGTGGAGCCGTCCCCTGCATTTCACAGAGACTTGTGGTATATAGCGATCAAAACTGGAGCCACAGTCACGCTGAGCCATCACGTCCAGTTTAGAGATGGACAGAGACAGGATGTAGGCCCTCTGTTTACTTTCACAAAAGGCTCCAGCCATTTCCTGTGGGTCATTTTGTGACTGAAAGCAATAGTCTTGAGTTCAATGGTTTGCAGTTCAGCTGACCGTCACGTCATTTCTGTTGACCTGTACTTTCAGAAACAATAAAATTATGTGTCTTCACTTGGGTGGATGCAACAAAGCAAATTATATCTTGTTTTGAAGGTGATACTTATACATGTAAAATGAATGAGAAGTGCTGTTTTATGTTTCACAATGGGTGTTTTGTGGAGGTATCTGGACAACCATACATGTACGGAAATAAGTATTTGGTTTGTATTTCCTCTCTGTCTCCACCTAGACAATCAAATTGCATAATCCTCACTTTGGTCAAATATAAAACAAAGTCATTATTTAGTCATCAAATATATTTGATTTGAACTTAAACTGTCACATTTGATCAAATTTGACAGATTACAGTAGTCATAAAGCTATAATCCCAGTTAAGACTACTAATCTTTGATTCACATACAAGTTGATTTGTTGTATGAAAGTCACGTCATCTCAGCATGCAATTGTCACATGAAGAAAAATAGACGTGATATTTAAGAAGAAGAAAGAAGTTGAAACTAAAAAGAAGTAGCAGCAATAATCATATAGAAGCCTGTCTCTACCTCAGAGAAACTTTATATACCAGTTGTGAGTTTATATTTCATAAGTGAAGTGAAGTGACGTGTGGCCAAGTATGGTGACCCATACTCGGAATTTGTGCTCTGCATTTATCCCATCCAAAGTGCACACACAGAGTAGTGAACACACACACACACCGTGAACACACACCCGGAGCAGTGGCAGCCATATTGCTGCAGCACCCGGCGAGCAGTTGGGGGTTTGGTGCCTTGCTCAAGGGTCTCACCTCAGTCGTGATATTGAGGGTGGAAGAGAGCGCTGGTTATTCACTCCCCCCAGCTAATCCATGCTGGACCTGAGACTCGAACCCGCAGCCTTCGGGTTACAAGTCAGATTCTCTAACCTCTGTGATTATTTCTCAATTGCAGCTTTTATCTACTAATTGCAACTTTATTTCTTAAAAATTGCAGCTTTATGTCGCACAACTGCAACTTTATATCTCACAATTGTTACTTTATGTCTTACAGTTATAACTATATCCAGGGCCGCATTAACCATTGGACTAGCCCCGGGGCCCGGACAAGGAGGGGGCCCGTGATTGGCTGTGGAGTAGATTGACTGGTCATCGGTAGCGCCGATTGCCAAAGCCCCGCCCCTCACTTATTAGCGCTATTATTTAGTGGAGCTTTTCCATATACTCCATGCATTACCTCTAGAGATTAATCGTCACGTTTGAATTTGGTTTACCAATCAAATGCATTTACTCTATATTTTTTACTTTTGAACGACTTGTGCACCACATATCAATCAAGTGATCGCTGCGATGTTCGCATGCACCTCTCTTCACTTCGTTCTGGCATAACCTGGAAATGGTCACGCAAAGAACAATCTTCGATAAGTAAAAATGTAAACTCTTCTAAAACGAAAGTGAGAGGGGCTATTCTAAAAAAAAAAGGGGAAAACACGAGTTAGTGAGTCAGTAAAATCCCCAGCTATCAGGTTATTTTACTAAAGCTGATGATGGAGTGGAAGTTGTTGGATCAGCAAGTGGACCGGGCACATGGAGCAGGTAAAATCACAGCGTCGTCGTCCCCACAGATGTTAGGTTAGTTTGATTAACAAGTTAACATCTTGATGGATGTATATTGCTTTTTGTGTTTGAACAAAGTATATTCGCTTATGGGTTGAGAGATAAACAGGTATATCAGTCGTTTGGAGCGGCATGATGTAGGTTAAGCTTTTCATTTAAAAGCATTTTAAGCATTGTGGTTTAAAAACAAATGTAACTGTTCAGGGACATTAAGCAGTGGGGCAGAATTCATTTTGGCAAATGCACGCATTAAGACGGTCAGTCGGTCACGGCCTGATTCGCGTGGCGCGCACCTGCTCGCACAGCGCCGGTCTAAACTTAAGTTATTTTTCGCGCCTTGTGCTTAAACGTTCAAATGCACTTATGTGTCAAAATGTCTCCTCGTCAGCACAGTCATTTTTGTCTTAAAGGAACGTTAATAGTTAAATATAAAGTATGTGTAGTAAGCTATGAGATCCTAATATGATGAGATTTTAAAGGGATAGTTCACCCAAAAATGAAAATACTGTCATTTACTCAGCCTCAATTTGTTCTAAACCTGTATGAATTTCTTTGTTCTCCTCAACATAAAAGAAGATATTTTGAAGAATGTTCGTAACGAGAAAGTTTCTGGTCCCCATTGACTCCAATAGTGTATTTTGTTATTCATACTATGGAAGTAATGGGGGCCCAGCAACTGTTGGGTTACCAGTATTGTTCCAAATATATACTTTTACATTCAACAGCAGAAGGAAACTCATACAGGTTTAGAACAACATCAGACCTTTAATTTTTGGGTGAGCTATTCCTCTAAAGCAGCCTAATTTAGCTGCTGTTCAAAATGTATGTCAATAATGTTAATCACACATTAGAAAGAAAATCCCTCTGTCCTTGACCGAATCACTTTTGTAAAATAAATAAGAATGATGTCACTGTATATCTCACAAGCGTTACTTTATATTTCAAAAATTACTTTATTCCTTGTAACTGCTGTAACTTCCTAATATCCTAACTGCAACTTTTCACTTTATATCCCACATTTGCATTTATCTCTCAAAATTGTGACTTTTTATTTTACAATGTAACTTTGACACAATTTGCTTTTTGATTGTTTGTACTCTGAGGCTTCCACATGATTAGAAAGCTATTCATGAAGACGTCATCAAATTTGTACAACATGCCTTCCATAACACCATGGATTAACAGGTTCTGTTGTAGCTTTGTTGTTGCTCTGCTGTTCTACAAATGACAAACATGAGTGAAACAAATTACATACATTTTCTAATGCTTAAAACCTCCTGTTTCAACCTTGAGAGGCCTGTAATTGGCCTTCGCCGACAGCTTGGAAAGCATGTGCACTCCCATGCACCCTCCCACTGCATATATGTGAATCATGGATCATTTGTGCAAGCCTGCGGCTTCTTTGTGGCGACCCCACCAGGCTCCAGTTGACTCATGCTTAAAGGTGACTGTGATCCCTGCCAACGTTGCCATCACTATCACTGACTACCTGGTGACTGTCAGACTGGTCCCCATGAACACACATGCAAGACAGTGATTAGTCAAAATTCGATCATTAAATTCTCATGCTGAGGTGTGGTGTGATGGAAACTTCCTGAAAGCAGGCGCTAAGTGACTGTTGCCAGTCATTGTGGTTTAATGGCGTCTCAGGCTGATCAACAGCTCCAGGTCAGAGCCAGTGGCCAGGCTGCTGAAATTAGAGAAATATGAGCCTGTGTTTTCTAGTCACGCTCCCCCACTTTAGCTCCTCTCCATGCCAGTGGCAATGCGGATAGAGAAGCTGGGCCCAATATCTGTTTTTTATATCTAGGTCATTGGGATGTGTGTGGCT